GATAGTCTTTTTGACTAGCTACAAAACCAGGCATTTGAGAAACCCCCAAACTGATGGTCATCTGAAACATATCTAGGCAATTTGGTTTCTTGATGCAGTTTTTGTGTATTTTGAGACGTTTTTCAGTCAATATTTCGTTAAAAAACTACGATTTTTTTCAAAACTTAATATCAGATTCAAAATCAGCGTTAAAAACTGAGTCGATTTATGTATGTTGTGGATAATTCTTAGGAAAAAAAGTTTTTTTGAAAAATCCCTGTACTCCCCCTCAGGGATGGTCTGGTCAATAATGACAATTTTTTCGATAACTCAACCATTTCTTGACGGATCCTTCTCATCTTCGAACTCGACCTAGATATTGATAAGACAATTCTGTGCACAAAATTTCAGCTCAATCGAATGTAATTGTGGAGAGTTATCGAATAAACGGACGGACGGGCACACTGACCGATTCTAGAGTGTACTCTTTTTTTTTGAGTACACAAAAAGCATTCTAAATACTGTTTTTAATCATAAAAATTGTTCAGATTCTTTTGTGATTGTTTCTTTTTATTCATATTTTCGATAAATAAAGTCAGACAGTTTCAAAAGAAATTCTAAAGTAGAATATATAAAAGCTATTTTTGATTAGTATGATACTGCTGAAAACAAATGTTTGCCATTGAACTTATTTGATAATGAATTTTCAGAATGTGTCAAATGCATAACATTTCGCCATATTCTTTTATAAGATTTCTCAGATAATTTGGCTAAGTAAAAAAATAAGATTGAAAAACTTTCCCTTTGAATATAAAATTAGCATTTATTTCGTTCATTCGGCGGAATTTTGCTTTTTACATATCTAGTTAAGAAACATCAGTTTTCTTTGTCCTATCAGCAGTCGTATATATTTTAATCAAAGAAACACGAAATCATACGTATTAACACGCAATAAAATAGCTTTTCGCAAGTGTTAAGTAAAAGAGTGCTCGAAGGAAAATTAAGAACTAAACAAGGCAAACAACAACATACAGAATAAAACGATAACATCAGTCTAAATAAGAGATTCAACACTGATAAACAGAAAAAGAAAAAGGCTGAGTTTCTCCAGATCCCATATTCACCTATGAACGTTGCTTCTAAGTAATACGCTTGTTTTAACAAAGCATACAAAAATCTTCTTTGTTTTTGATTAGTATGAAAAGAAAAATAACAGATATACGCTCAGTTCAAAAAGAGAAATAATGAACTACATTAAATAGAAAGAAAGAAAAACGAACATACGATGACGGTATAAATATTTACCTTTCATTGTTCAACTGATTGCACGTGGGAAGTTTGTTTTTTTGATTTGTTTTTAAATGAGCAAAATCGAAAAAAATATTTGATAAGAATAAAAAAAATTTTTATAAATATTTTCGTGAGAAATGATCTTGTCGATTTCTAAAAAACATAATAATAGAAATGTAAATAATATATATCATAAAAAAAATGAATCAACTGACTTGAATGTAAAATAGCCTATGAATATAACTAATTGTAGAGCTATTATCACAAAGAATGTATACGATCCTAAACATGAAGAATCTCCCGTGCTAACAACAGTGGGGCATTTAACTTGATCAGGCTAAAAGAAATTAAAATAGAAGCAAATTCCAGCTTTTTCAAGAATAAAAAAAGTAATGATTGGATAATACTATTTTTTGCAGTAGAATATTTGTTTCAGATTTGATTTGTTGAATTGTATCTCGAAGTTCATTGAAAGCTTTTGAATCAACATTCGAATCAACTGGCTGTTGTCCTGTAACATCGTGTTGTTTATTATTGAGATTCGTTTGCAGATTATTGACTTTTTGTTGAAGATCAGTTAGAGATTGTCTTTTCATAATCAATGAAAAGATTTATGTCAAAGAAAAATAAATTTCAAGTAATTTACCCGAAATTTTGAATAGTTCGCGTCATATCAGTATTTGCATTAATTACTCGATTTATATCTTGAACTCGAGCCACATCATCAGGTATATTCGATCCTAGACCAGCTACACCCTAGAACATAAATTTATCAAGATAATAATATGTGGAAATGAACATTTTACTGAAGGTTGTCCGCTACCACTTGATGCTATTCGTTCAATACGTCCCAAAAGTTCAGCCATTTTTCGATCAATAGTAGTTAATGATAGACGAATTTGATCTTGACCTTCTAAGATAACACGAAATTCACGATCATATTCTGTTTCAAACTAAAATTGAACAAAACAAACTAAAATTATTAAAGAACTAAATGTATTAAATGCATACCACTTGTTGTTCATTAATTGATGTTGTTGCTTCTGGATGATCTTTTCGAAAACTAAATAAATAAAAATAAACCCATCAAAATAATAAAAAATAAAATAAAACAAATACAAACTCAGCTTGTTGTTGTTCAAGTTCTCGTTCATATTTTTCATATTCATCTTGATATTTTTTAGCTTGTTCGTGTGTTGTTTCTTGATTTTGTGCTAAAGCTTGTCTATCGGAAAATGTATGTGTTAAAAATTCCAAAACATCATGATCATCGGCGAGACCCCCTGTTGCAGCCGTTACACCAAGATAACCATTTTTCGGTAATCCGATTTGATCGATATGAGTACAAAGTTCAAATGCATTATCATCAAGTGAGATTCCATTATTGATATATATCTTTAATGTAAGTATAAAATATAGCACATGTTCAGTCAAATATTTTTGCTTTTTATATTTCTTACTGTTAATCCTTGATTAATGTATTCAATTTTAAGCCGAATAGGAAAAGGCTTATTACGAAAATCTTTAATACAGCTGCCTTGAATTTGACTACTACCATCATGTTGATGATCATATGATTGTGTTCCATCATTTACCATTACAGCAATGATAGGATTATTTTGCTAAGAAAAAGAAAAAGAAAAAGAAAAAGAAAATTTAATAATTTAATTTTAAAAAGAACATCATTTTTATTTTAAAAATTTTGTTTCGGAGTCATGAATCAGCCAAGTGATCAGTCATCTTGCTGGGATTAACACTCCGGCATTATTCTGGCCCTTATTGATTAAGAGACACATATCATTGTTTGTTTCCAAACTAAGGCCTCTGCCCAATAATGGCAATGCGTTCAGGTAGATTCGAACAAGTGAACTTTTAGTTTAACAACGAATAAAACAATATCACTACATTAGCTTTGTAAAACAATCAGCAAAACATTTATCATATGTACTAATTCTTCATAGAAAGTGATTATTTTTGTACTCGTACTTTCCATTGAGAGTTATCAATGTTTTAAAATTAAATATAGTCAAAAGCGGTAGTAAAATTAGATGACATTACGAAATGTACAACGTGAATAAATGTGAGAAACCAACAGATCTTCTTACGTTTAATAACTTACTATTTGAATAGTCTGAAATATGAATCAGAAATGTTAGGATTGACATTTGATTTTTATAGCATAGATAGAAGAAAGAAAAAGCAATTTAACGATCACTATCACTATAACTTACCAATGCATCGTTGTCAAATGAATCAAGGAAAATGCCTAATCCTTTCCATTGATCATTGGAACCGAAAACAGTACCTTCAACACCTGGAGTTTCCGTAAACCAAATAGCCTAAATAGAAATTAAAAACTTAATATTAATAAATTATTTTACTAAAATAAATTTTAAGATCACATATATTCAGATGTTTGAAACTTTTAAAGGCTGTCGTTTCAAGTTTCATTACATCTATATATACATATATGTATATACTAGTGTTTGAAAATGTAAATGAAACTTCCTGAAACATTTTTTTTCTACTAACAGTCCTTTCTGTTTCGAGTCACGTCAAGATGCGTCACCTGAAAACTATTTTGAAAGAATAATACTTGTAGACAAATTGTCTGTTCAATATTAACATTGTTAGTTTTCTAATTACTATTTTTTTCATTTCTTCGTTTCAACTCAAGTTGAAACGTAATGTACACACTTAACTACCACATTGAATTCATTTATACAGAAAAAACAACAATCATCGCATTCATCGAAACGTATTTATTGATTCTCTTACCATTCCATCAGCACCGACACGACCACGTCCTGTTACTCGTAGTTTTACATCGAGCAGCCAATGATCGACTGATAATGTGTTTTTACTCCAAATCCAACCTAATAAAAATAAGAAAGTTTCATTCTAATGCTTGAAACAAATTTCGTTTTCATTTATACCTCTTTGACTACGAATTGATGGTGTAATACGAACTTGTTCATCACTTGCAATAGCACCTTCATACAAAACAAAAAGATATTACATACTTTTGAAGTTCATAAAACTTACTTCCACCGAATGACCAAAAGGGTACACTTCCATCTTTGAAAGCAAGAGTAGGACCTTTGAATGATAATTTATATTCAAATCTTTTCACTAAGTTTGAATTTGTTACAGATGGATCAGTGTAAGTAAAACCACATGCTACTGAGTATAATATGATAAAAATGGACAGATAAAAGTTCATCTCAGATTTTTATCGATTTGACCGTGGCAATGACTGAAAATCAGTGTATAGTTACGAGTATATTCTAAAAATGCAATAAAAACAATAATTTATATGAACGAAACGGACATCTGAATATATGTATGCATGTTTTTAGTTATATTCAGCTGGTGACGACTATTTCGACCTATCAACATATTTTCGACGAATTATATACACGCATTTGAAAAAAGTTTATTTTTCTAAATAAATTGTATTTGATTGCAATTGCAGACATGAAAAATATCTTAAAAATAGTGTTAATAACAGTAGTTTTTCATTGGCCGAACCATGTATCCAATAAAAGTACTCGTTTCAAAATGAAAAATCCTGGTTAGGGTCAGAAAACACCTGCCGAACATATGTGCATGAGTCACTAAATTAATATAGTGAATGCAGTACGATAGAAGACGCCTGTTTCCAATTGATCTATCGAAAAATATTATAGTTAAAATTGATTAAATTAGAGCGCATATTTATCTCTGTATTTTATTTTCTAAGATTTTAATTTTGTACCGAAAATGACGTGATACTAAAATCAAAGGACAACGAATATTTCATACACACATATAAGATGTCGCTCAAAGAATTTACATGATTGAATTTTAATCCATTATTTTTGCTCTTCACACGAGTTCGTTATAATAAATAATCTCTATGAATAATATACTTCAACGGTTGCAAATATTAGTTCATAAAAATGACTATAATCTAAAGTGCATTAGTGCATTTTGCATTCAACATTAGTTGGAATTTTTCCATTTCCTTGATACAAACTGATTTCATGCTGAAATTTTTTCCAGTAAAATATATTTTTTCTTAAAAAAAAGTACTTCTCCTTTCTTCTCTTCGATATTCATACATGAGTTCAACTGTTTCTTCTGTATTTTGTGCTAGTAATATATCAGGTCACCATAAATTAAATAATGAAATTAATCTTTATGAAGTATTTTCATTATCAAAGAATAATCCAATAATAGCATCAGCATTTAATAGCTGTTACCAAAAAGCACTTCTTTCATTAAATGAACACATTGAAGGAATAGATACAACAACAGTATCATCTTTCAAACGATCAACATATGATGTAAATGAAGATGACTTTGATACAACTGTTTTTCCAAAACGTTCATTCACACCATCATCAACAGCCATATGCCAATGGCAACATGAACAATTCTTAAAGGAAAAATTTATTCGAATACTTATTCCAATTGTTGCAGTAAATATGTATTCGATTGTTTTACATTGGCTTGAACTTGAATTAAAAAATGAAGAAGAGCGTGAAAGTAGAAATGAACAAAACAAAAATGATTTAAAAAATAAAATATATGAATTAAAATCAATGGAAAATTCAATTGATGTTGATAAATTATATGAATTTAGTGGAAATTCCAAAGATATCTTGATTGAACAAGTCGATTGGAAATTTGTTGCAACAAAAATAAGAAGTAAAGGTGGCTTTAAATATTTTGATGAATTTGCTTTAAAACGTATGTGGAAACATCGATGTCAATATGGATTAAAGAACTCATGGTCTGACCAAGAAGATACAATTTTAAATCAATTAGTTGAACAGTTCGGTTTTGGAAAATGGAATGAAATTTCACAACATGAAATGTTTCAAGTAAAATATATTTGCCAAGAAAACTACAGAAATTTACAATGACTTATTTTATTAAGAAAAATAAAAAATCAGCTTATATGTGTTCACAACGATATATGTCGACAGCGAACAAAGCATTTTCAAAAAGGTAAAGAAAAATGAAGTTAGAAAGTTTTTTTCAGAAATTAAAATAAGTTCATCTGTTTGATTTTCACATCAAAGAAAGCAAAATAAATGAGTTTTATCAATTTTTAAGTTTTAAGAATAGCTAATATTTTTTCTATTATGTTTATTTATATACATATAAAAAAAGAAAACTATTTGATTTTATAATAGTTGTAATCGAATACTTTTTGTTATAATAGATGTATAGAATTAATATTTTCAATCCTTAAAATTAGTATCCATATAGCATTCGACATTGTAATAAAACAAAATCATGGTTTTAGAGCAATAAGAGTAAACTCAACATATTTCAATTGGTAACGTTATGGAGCATTGTTAGAAATGGAGTCGATTCATATTCTACTAAATAAGTATACTAAATTCATGAGATCATTCTTTTTTATTTAACTTAGTCTTATAGATTAATTAGTTTTTGAGTTAAGTGGATTATTGATCACAAATACATCGTATATTACTGAAAAACACATACACTCTATGCTATGGATCAAATTTGAGATCAAAGATATCTTCTTTGTTGAAGATTAAAAGATAACTTTCTTGAAAACACTGTGTGAAGAACAAAAATTATTGTAGAATGAAACAACATTGATTCAATCAATAGTCAATACGGATGATATGAACTTTTTTTTAAACTGAAGTTAATTATTTGATTGTCAATTTTAATGAGTTGTAAGACAACAATTAATTTATGATATCGAACCAAGTAAATATCATATTGTCTTATAAATCTAATTAAATTACTAAAGTTTAAAATTTTTTTCTTCTGTTTTTCTCCTTGTTTCAAATAAGTTATAATTGGAACGTATGCTAATCAATGAATATATATAATTTGATAATTAATATACTAAAATCAATCAAAACTAATGTAATTACAGAGACTAGAAAGTATATAAATGTGGATTATAATGTTAAAGTATCTCATTAGAAAATGTCAAAAATTAGTTTCTAGATATTTTTCGGTCTATTGAATAAGCATTGCATTAATGACCTATCTTTTTATTCTAATATAATGTTAAGGATTGTAATAAACAAACTTAACAATGTGAGAATTAATAAAATGTTGTTCAACGTATCATTTAGTATTCTTAAAAGCACCTTTAAGCAGACTAAAAATACTTACTGTAATAATGTATCAGGTCAACTCTAGCATGCTATAATTAACATGTCGAATGAATATTTTCGCAAAAGTTATTTTAATTTTCATTTATTGAATCATAAATAAAAATCTATTCACTCTCTAAGAGGTTTCCTTTCAAAACAGAGATGTTTCCAAATTCGATATATTTCTATATAATTATTGAATATTTTATTTATGCACACGTATACAATTATAGTTCTGTTCACATTAACTTTTTCTTAGAGTATGATGAAAACATTACATTAGATAAAAGATTGAAATATTTTTCAAGTTAAAAACAACGTCGATTACACAACCATTGAATATTCATGATTTTTTTTTCTAATAATAGAACTATATTTTGTTGGAAATAAATTTCTATTTGCCAATCTTTACAAATATTTGACAGCTATCATTGAATGAAAAATAATAACAACAACAATATCAGAAATCATTAATCATCATGGGCATAAAAGCTCATTAAATTCATTTCTTTTAATATTCTAGACGATTCACGCAAAATGAAAAAGATCTTTTGTCATCGATGTACAAACATCGCTGCTCAGTAATAAAAGATTATCGATTTTGTGTTTCTTATGCTTCTTATTTACTTGGTGATCGTTGTCTACCTGAAGTCACTCACGTATGGGCATATATTAATCCTGATATTAAAAAAAACCCATTTACACCAGAAGAAGATGCTATTTTACTTCAATACATCAATAAAAATCAATCGATTTGCTGGGCTATATTAGTCGCTAGCCATCTGCCTGGTCGATCAGCGATTCAATGTCGACAACGTTATTTTCAACTGACTAAACCTCAATCGAGTAAAAAGGCAAAACGAACAAATAAAAAAGTACATGTAAACAATAATCATTTGAAAATCGTGTGAAATTTAAAAAAAATTTTCTGTGTGTTACGGTGATGTCGACATAATACCATTATTTTCTTCATATCCTCTATTGTCTTTCTTATCTTCTTTAATCACTAATGGTACTTTCTCTTCTCATTCTTGTGATATATATATATATATATATATATATTTGTTATCGCTATTATTGTATTTATTCCTATTAAATCAAGATCGTGTGTACACCAGCAGTGGAGCCAGGAAGAGGCTAAGCAGGCTCAGCCTCCCCTAGTCATGTTTTTGAACGATATATTTTGTGATATAAAGATGCATTAATCTTCGCAATTAAATATTTGAATACTTGAATTATTGTGTGGTGCTCATAGCTGTTTCGAACTAAAATAAAATATTGTAAATGTAATTTTCAACCAGGTTCTAGAGATTATAATATATCCTTCCAAAACCTAGCTAATAATTGCAACATTTTTAGCTACGATTTTGTTCACTGCCGCTCAACTAGAATGCTTTTCTGACGAGTCCAAAATTATTCTATGGCTAACGTTTTGTGCTTTACTTTTGAAGATGAGCTTATAAGTGCTGTGCGTATTTTTATTCAAATATAGCAAAGGGCTATGTGCAGAGCGTGAAAAGTCACTTTCAACGGTGTGCTAACATTTTTTTGTTTAAACTTTAAGCTACTTCACGAAGATGTTAGGAATTGTGGCAGATCGTTATTTTCTGGAGCGGATACTTCCTGAAGAAATGGGATATTGAACAAAACTGCAGCTTTTAATCAAGTAATTCTACCAATGGGGAAACGGTGGACTTGAAATAGAATAATAAGTCAAAATTAGGTCAAAGTACAGGTTAGCAGTAACTAAAAATAGCACTCAAGTAGTCCGAAATAATAACAAGTAGCTGCGCAACTTTGATATAACTTCAAATCCTAAGTCCACCGCTTTCCCCCTTGAATTGTAAACGCAGTCACCAAGAGCTCCTCTCAACGCAAAATGATTTTCGATGAAAATTCGGTTTTTAGAAATGAGTATTTGTGGTGCACAGAAACTGAGATGCCTGAGGAAAGACCGAAAACAAATTTAACATAGTACATTTTCACGGTATCTTTAGTTCTGCAAGCTGATTTATAAGACAGGATACGAAGTTTTCGTTTCGAATTGCAAATCAGAATACAAAAATGAGCAGGAAAAGTTTTTATCTTAACCTATTTATTTGATTTTCTCAAGACTATTTCACTAATGGCTTCTAGAACAAAACAGAGAATTCTAGACTAGTGTCCAAAACGAGCACCATATTTCGATATTAATTCATTATAGTTTTGGGCTAGTCGAAACTACTTTCAGTTGTGTGAAAGATGAAAAAACGTTACGCCTGAAAACTTTCCGAACATCTATTAATATATTTTTCGATTAGATAAAAACACATATTTCAAAAATCCCTTTTGATATGATAGATAGTTGACAAACAGCAAAAGCCAAGTTATAAAAACTTTTTGAGTTTCGACTGATTCTTTTCAACTTTTTTTCTTTTTTCGTCATTAAAAACATGCATCAGTTTGACGTAACTTTGGATAAATACAAAAACAATTTGTCGTATGACTTTCCGTCGGTGAATGGGTTCAGCGTTCCTCCCGCTTGCCCAAAACTCTGGCTCTGCCACTGGTGTACACGTACAGCTATACACATGCATGCATCAACAAAACGAAATAAGATAATATAACTATAACAGTGAGCACTGATCTTTTCGAAGTATCGAATAAAGTCGGTATATTGACTAAGACCAAGTAAGAAAATATCACATTTAACTTTTTTCAGTTTGACTATGAAGTAAAAAGAATAGATTACCGAGGTCAAAGAGAACGGCCCTTAAACGATCTTGTGACGGTGAAGTACGGCAACGTTTCCGATGGCCATACAAGAAGCACCGTAACGAACATCGTAAGCGTTACGTATTTTAGTCGTACTTTTAGATATCTGTCAAACGATCAGAAGACACACCTTTCAAATGCAAAAAAGTTTTCCATTTATTTTTGTAGGGAGCACACCAAAACGGTCGACATTGTTTTGGGAAATAAACTTCAATTATCAATTTAATACAATTCTTCAATCGTGGCGCCGATACCCAAGAGAATGATTCCGATAGTCGGATCATATCGGATTCGTGCCGGAATCCGATAGAATATAGTCTGGATTTCAGTAAACTGACGAAATTCTATCGGGATCCGGGTGTGAGACCTACAATTCGAACCTTAGTGTTGGAATCCGATAGGTTCCAGTGTCGGAATTTAACGGAATCCAATGAACGCGTTTGATCCATGTGTTCTGTTGACACCAGATGCTTATTAATTGGTAATTAAGAAAATGTTTTTTTTCCATCGGATCCATTAGTAGATTCTGGACCAGGAATCCGATCGCATTTTGTTGGTTTGTCGGGTCCCATGAGATCCAATAGAATCCACTGTCGGATTCATTCATCTGTGATATAAAAAAATTGGTGCAATATGAGAATCTACTTAAAATAAGATTTTAGTTTGGTTTGCAACACAATTACGAGGGTTTTACTTAATTTTCATCTTTTCTTATTGTCCTTTTTTTCTATTGATTCGTTTCAAACAAAAGCATGTAGAGAAGTCAAAAACGTTGAGGTCGTTTAAGTAAGATATTCATTTGAATATTTTCTAAGCTCTTGGATCTTTGCTTTTTTTGTCAGCTAGGAAGTGACTTAATCAGCATCATACCATTATTGGTTTCTCATTAGCTTCTTTTTATTTTAGTTTGGTTTTGCATGAAAAAAAACTTCCTTGAAACCGAAACAGCAAGGACTTGCATATTTTTGAATAATATCTATAGACTTCTGGAGCACAAGACAGTGAGTCAATATCAAGAGTAAGCAATAGAAAACCGATGCATTTACGACCGTAAACGATTCAAAATCCAGTTCGCAAGCAGCTACGGTAGTTCTTGTAAACGATCTGCATACGCTACCGCACACGGTACGGAAAAATACGCTCGCATTACTGCCCATGTTACACGGGCAAATACGACACCGTCATGGGCCGTATTTTCATCGTAATCGGTCATTAGTGCACCGTATGGCCATCGTTTACCCCCTTAAACGACGCCGTAATGTCGTTCTTTTGATGAACCTGGATAAAATCATTCAGTCAGTAAAAGAGAAGCTTCTGTTTTTTTTTATTGCAGATCCATCCTGTTCGTTTCAGTAATAATATTCAATGGTTACAAAAGCAATCAATTCATATTCAAAAATTTTCAAACAGTATTATTCAAAACCTCATTGATTCACCTACAGAAATTAATAATTGAAATGCATTGCAAAAAAATTTAATTATTAATGAAGAAATTTAATATCGAAGCAAAATCAACTCAGGTCCAAAAAAACAGCCCATAAACCGCCTCAAAACAATGCAAAATGTCAGAAACTGGTGTCGTTATCCTTCAGCTGGGAAAATGTTTAAAATAGTGTTAAAGACGATAGCCGTTCCCTAGTAAAAGTACGGTCGATAAAACGGGCTGACGTACTACGGCGAAATAAGGTGAAAATTAATGCAGTATTTTACTGTTTTACAGCTGTTTCAGACCTTTTACGAAACCGATTCAGATGATCGGAATGATCGCGTTGGAAAATCGCGAAAACTTTACCATAAAGAGAGTTACTTCTTAAATTTAACAACACAACGGTGACTATCGATGAATCTATGCAAAATTTTCTTAATAATATGCTGTATAAATAATCTTTTCTTTTTTTTGCCTCTTGCCCATTTTATGAACATATGACATGAAACTTGTTTATACATTCAATAAAAACAAAGGTAAAGAAAAAATATATATACCAAAATACTGTTGTTCTCCTCTCTTTATGGTATTCTAATGAGATTTATGCTTTTTTTGTAGTCAAAACGGAAGAAGAAAAACAAGAAATAATCACAGTGATGATGAAGGACGTTGCTCATTTTTATAAGCATGAAGTAAACGTTTTTTCAATGGTACACTGTGACCTGATGATGGTAACGATAACAATTCATTTGATTGAGTTGATATAGTAGAATGTGATCGTTGCATTGGAATTTCATATGTATCTGGTCGATTATGAATCGTCTTAAAATAAAAGAAAGTAAAAGAACATATTCTAACGTAAGATAGAAAATGTCATAGACTAAGTTTTTTTACTTTAGAATAGGTCATAAATATGTCGTGTTTTTTCTTTCTTACTCTATATCTAATGTTTAGGTACTACTGAAAGTCTACTAAATATTTGTCTGCAAGACACAACTATTTTGGTTCACAAATGATCTTTGTTTTCATTTGGGTATGTTGCTTATTTTTCAATATAACCCAGGTCGAGCATCCCAGCCACCGGATCCCGTAGGATATTCCAGGAAATATGCGGGAAAGTCACCATATCCTGCAGGAAAACACGAGAAATCGCTGGAACATGGAAACAGTATTCCGGTAAAGAATACAACCGGGCTTGATCGGAGAAAATTCGAAAATTTTCCAACCGAAATACAGCTTCCACAAAATCAAGGGAACTACCCGGAACCGGCCATTTCCAGGCCGGACTCTTCGACCTGAGAATCTCATTGATAGAAGCGTTCAGGAGAATAGTTCCGATAGTAGGATCCTATCGGATTCGTGTCGGAATCTTTATCGGATATATTATGGGTTTCATTAAACTGAGGAAATCTTATCGGTATCCGGGTGTGAAGCCTACAATCGGAACCTTAGTGTTGGAATCCGATAGGTTCCAGTGCCGAATTTTACCGGAATCCAACACCCAGGACAAACAATCAGATACTAAGATCTGATAAGAATCTGAATCTGATCTTGTATGATCTTACAAGATCATACGAAAATCATACAAAAAATCGTAGTCTCTGAGATCATATATCAAGTCGGACAGTCAGATTCTTGAAAGATCTTATTAATGTGTAGGATCTTTCAAGAATCTGACTGTCTGGCTTGATATAAAATCTCAGAGACTACGATTTTTTGTCAGATTCTTGTAAGATTTCGCCCATATTCAAAGATCTTGTATGTATTTCATAAGATCTTATGTCAGATTTTTCAACCTGGGCATAAGCATTCTACTGATGTGTTCTGTTGACACCATATGCTTACTCAGGTCGAGCAATCATATTGTAAGATCTTATCAGATCTTGCATCTGATCTTATGTGATCTTGCACGATCATACGAAAATCATACAAAAAATCGTAGTCCCTGAGATCTTAGATCAGGTCGAACAATCAGATTCTTCAAAGATCGTATTAATCTGTAAGATCTTTCAAGAATCTGATTGTGAGAGTGCGAGTTGATCTAAGATCTCAGAAACTACGATTTTTTGTCAGATTCTTGTAAGATTTCGCCCGTATGCCAAGATCTTGTGTCAGACTTTTCGACCGGGGTATTCATTGGTGATGAAGAAAATGTTTTTTTCCGTCGAATCCGTTAGTAGGTGCGTGATCAGGAATCTGATCGAATTTTGTCGGCTGGTCGGATTCGATAGGATTCACTGTCGGATTCATTCACCTGGGAGGATCCATACGACAGTCCGAATTAAATGATTAGCATTTGTTCTAACTTAATGAGATAGATGAATTTGATGATGCATATATTAAAATAAGTAGCTGCTTTTATTAATCATTGCATATCAAATGATTTTGAAATTTGACATAGTTTAGATGTTCAATGGTATGATACAGAGGGTGTGGGTGTGGGACTATCCCACCAAATCCTGTCCCGGGACGGGACAAATCAATTTATTAAAACGTCCCGCGAAGCTTTTATCATGTATCGTTATCACCCATTGTTCTGCTATTATTCTAACTTTAGTTAACTTCAGCTCCTATTCTTAATATTCTATAATTTCTCTTATTTAATTTATCTATTTATCGATAATATATAGCGACTTTATCGAGGCACGTCCATGATTCTAATTAGT